ACGCGCGCACGCACGCACGCACGCACCCACACACACACACACACACACACACACACACACACACACACACACACACACACACACACACAGAGTCGACTTCGATCTCATGCACTGATTTGCTAGCTAACAGCCAATGAGAGTCACGGTGCATATGGCGCATTAATTCAAATCTTATCAATAAAACACAATGACACAAAAATATCTTTGTTCTTCACAAATCTAAGCGTTTTTTTTGTTTTTTTTTTGTTTTTTTAACTTAGGTTTGTTTCTGCTTGTATTATGAATGAGTGTGTGTGTGTGCTACATTGGTTAATGTGTGCATTTAAGCTCGTGAAACCATGACTGTGGATGGTATGATAAACAATAACATCTCGGCTGCATTTCTTATTTGCTTGCTGTGGTGTGAAAGTCATGATTTTGATTGATACTAACTGTAAGAATTGATGGATATCAAAATTTCCCCCTGGATGTGGGGGTGACCAGTGAGTGACAAGTGGTGGCCATCGCCACCCCTGGCCGTCACAGAGGTCCATCCCTGCCACGGGTGCCCTTTTAACCTCATATCTGACATCAAAACACTCAATCTTTTTCTGAATTGAATTCATAGCAGGTAATGGATCTGTGTTGAATTGGCCCAAAACGGCTTTACTGTGTGTATACATGTCTGAATTTGTGTGAATTCCTTTTTTTTTATGGGATTAATATTCTGTCTCAGTGGGACTCGGAGCACGTGGTCTCCTCTCTTCTTTCCTAAACCAAATGCATTTGCAATTAGCCCTTTCAGAGGAGAGGGAGGGCAAACACGCTGTCGGCGTGGAAATATGTTTCGGGAGCAGCGCGTTAATGGCGCTTGACCTTTGCCGTTGGTTGTGACTCAATCAGCGCAGATAATGAAATGCTGTAATCAAACAATAATTACTTGATAAACTGCTCGGGTGGCAGGCACATGGCTACGGGGATTTTACTCTGTGTGTGTGAGTGTGTGTATGTGCCTTTGTGTGTGCTTTTCTGTGTGTGCGCGCGTGTGGGTGTGGGTGTGAGAGAGAAAGAGAAAAAGAGAGAGAGGCAGAACTGTAGTTGTCAAGGTGCATGTGTTGTGTGAAGTGCTCAGAATTTCATATTTATAACATGGAGTTTGTGTGTGTGTGTGTGTGTGTGTGTGTGTGTGTGTGTGTGTGTGTCAAGGTTCTGCCGGTCCCTGTTTTTTAAATGACTCTGTGTCTTAATCAGGGGCCCCATTTACATCACTTTGCATAAGTGACATGTGGATTTATTGTCCTTTTATACCGGATGACATTTGCACCTATGCATATAATACTTAATCATCTTTCCACAGCGAGGAATGACTGTGCTGCTGTGTTGGAATACAAATGATTTCCTCATACTTGAGGTGATGATGAATCAAATAGATGAAACCCAAGAGCAGCACATGAAATTTGATTTGATCTACTCTGTGTGTGTAACAAACCACATCATTGTCAACCACGTAATGGGTCGCAGTGGCCTAGTTAAACAGTCCCCTCCTAGCATTTCTATTAGGCGCGCACACTCATCATCACACATTCTGGAGCCCCTCCTCCTGTCAGGTCTGCCTTGTGCTTCTTGAGCAATCAAGCCTCAATGATTGTTCTCCATCACATAGTCTGCTCCCGACCAGCCCCTCACCATCTGTGAAGTAATTACTCTTTTTAGTGGCGGCCATCAGAAGACAAACCTCACGAAGGCGTACACACACACACACACGCACACACACGTGCACACACGTGCACACACGCACACAGACACCACTCACTTTTGTTCAAATGTATAAATCAATTCAATTCCCAAACATTTCATCTGCAAGTGAATTCTGTCTGTTGTGTTGTGCTGTGCTCGAAATCACCAAGTTGAGGCAGAAAGATGACACAAACACATTTTCCTTCTGAATCCACTTACGATTATTGCTATGGTTAAAAAAGATCTCCAGCTTTTCACTAAATGAACCATCTTTGGCATGTGATTTTTTTTAGTGCACATTCTAATTCCTTTTTGCTATTTTCCGATAACATTCAAAGGCATTGTGAGGGATTTATGAGAA